TCCCACGAAGAGGGGAAGGAGGAGGTCTTTTTGAATTGGCGAGTAGCCGTTTTATTCGCCGGACGTACTCTGCTGGCTTCAGATGTATTGAGACTAGCGATGTCGATGTCGGTGGGGAGAGTTGATTCGAGAGTCGCGGGGCGGTGGTTGAATCGTGCCATGGGGGAGTGGAGGAGGAAGAATAGGGAGGGGGCGAGAAGGGAGATTGTGAACGGTTCGTATCTCTGGATTTGGATAGCTTTCCTAGGAGGGCGAGGACGGACATCTTGCGGCCCTTCTTGGTGTCCTTATCCATATCCTGTCCATTTCGATTGTTCTCCTTGGTCCTGTTCTCCCTGCTTGAGTTCAAAGAAGAGGAGTACGCACCATAGCGCGGGGGTGTTGTTGGTGGTAGGTTTGTTAGTGAGTTTTCCATCGTCAATGCCTAGTCTACCCCGACCCTACCTAGAACAATATGCCAGTATGTTTGTTTTTCTTCCGATTATTGTATTGTTTTGTCTTGGTTATATTTCCTCGTCTTCCCTAGGACGAGTTCTGGTCGGGTGAGGGCAAGAATAAGAAAGAGCAAGAGGGCAAAGAGGGGAATTGTTTTGAGGATTGGGTCGTCTTAGCTGCTCAGCGCGGGCAGCATGTAGTCGCAACACATGAATATGAGTCACCAACTTCGTGCAGGCGTCGTCGAGAGGCTCCAAAAGGGCGTGGGCATTTATACGGAGAGCGAACGGCTGGTGGGTTATTTATTGGTCTGGGTTTGGGTTTGGGTTTGGGGATCGCGTCCTGCTGCCAAATCACACAAAAATGGGGAGCGAAGAAACACATGCACTGAGCTATTCGTTCTCCTCGTTCTTCCTCCGGCTACGGGTTACAGTGATTGATTGCTGTGATTGCTGTGGTGGTGCGGTGCATGTCTCTCGGGGCCAGCTGCATAGAGGCTGCGGGTTATGTTATGGGGCTTGAGGTTTGAGGTTTGAGGTTTGGCAGCGGGGGTGGGTAAGGGTACGTATCTGCGTGAAACCATCAGGGGGGGGCGACGACCCTCCCCTCACTCACACTCTGGGGAAGCCTGAAGTCATGTTATGTTAACTCATTAATTCGTATCAAGTTCTTTACACGTGAAATATTATTCGAAGTAATGTGAAAAAGAAGAGCAAAAAGAAAGCAAAAAGAAAGCAAAAAGAAGAGAGAAGAAGAAGACAATAATAACAACTGTCAACAAGGGGGTTGAAGGCCAAAGGTTCCCGCCCAGCCCATGGATCCAGCGCGAAGTCAATTATTACGTTTAACTAAGTTAGTTGATCGACGCCATCTGGCGCTTGCAGTGATTCAGCCCACTCAGCGCGCCTTGAGCCAACCAGAGGCAATATTCAGGCGGGCAAGACTTCTTCGATCTAATCAAGAGCAGAATGAGAGCTTACGCTGTATTCATGGTCGCTGCGGCGTTGTCAGATGATTGTTTGCTGCGTTAGGGGGTTGTTAGCGTAGTTAGCTGTGCTGCCAATAACGATATCCAACCCGTTTGTTCATCATCTCCGTCATATCATCCCCGTCATCACCATCACTTACAGCGTACAGCGTACATATGGACTCTCATCTCCATCCCCATCGGTTGTTCCCATCCATCTACACAGTAAGTCTGCGCAACCGTGCCGAGGTAGTGTTTTGAAATGGATGCTGACTAAACCAATCAACGCTCTGCCAAGCTTTTCCGCTCTAACTTACCCGCTGCCTCCTATTTCCGCCCTTGAAGGCTTATTCGTATATCATTATAACTTGTACTCCGCTTGTCTCTAGCTATGTGGACCTCCCTGCCCCGGTTGGCCGAGTGGCTGTTGCGGCTGCCCAGGTAGCGCCCGCAGGGGCGACACATCAAATCCAATCGGGCTAAAGATTGATCATAGTCTCTGACTGCATACGATTATAATGGTAGAATAATAATAATAATATGCGGACCTCCACCAGATCTATAAATACTCCTACATCTGCGCTTGTAAGGCGTGTATATCTCGGCATGCCTGGGCGCGGAAGAGGTTCAACCGGTAGAACAGGCAATAAGGGCCTGTTCGGTGCGTCCGTACTTTTTGAACGCAATAGTGGATCTCATTAAAAATAGTGTATTTACCAATTATTAGTAGCAAGCCGGCGTTGTGCCATCACACTATTCCACTGCTCTGAGATGGAGAAAGGAAGCTCACAAAAACACATTCTTTTTGAACTGACTCTGGACTCCATTCAAAAAGAACACATTTTTATGAGCTTCCTTCTAATCAATATTAGTTAACTATCTCCACTATGAACACTATTCTACACTATTCTACACTATATTGCCTCTAAAAGTGCTATTCTACACTATCACACACTGTTGAAGTTAAATACTGCTTATTCATAAGATCTTGGCAAGAGATGCAAGTACAGCCGCTCAATCCACTGAACACCTGGTCATTTTCATCTGTACTTTGTAAAAAGCAGCTGTATTATTAGTACAGATGCTCTGCCCACTGAACAGTCATGATATTGGGGCTGTACTTTTTAAAAAAAGTGGAGATCCGTACAAAAAGAACGAGTACACACGGACGCACCGAACAGGCCCTATAAGAGAATGTCAACCGGAAGTCAACCAGACATTTGCACTATGGACCTGTCTGTAGACGTCGTTATGAGAACATGCGGGAGAACAAGCTATATACTAGTTACGGAAGTTCCTACTTACCAACCTCATGTAAGATTCCCAATCATCTCTTGTAATGATCTAATAACTGTTCCGAAGTTAAGTCCGGACATAGTGGGCAAGAATAGTTGATCTGATTGAAGAAAAAAAATCGGAGTTCATTGAGTGAACGAGGAGAGGAACCCCTCTGGTGGACTTATATAATATGCCGTATTCCCCTTGAAAAACGGTACAACTTCGAAAGAATATTTACTATCGCTACCAGCAGCACTTGAAATATACATTAATATTCACTCTCTCATTTGCATGTCCTAATCATGCCGTCGTTCGTGATCACCGGTGCAAATCGCGGAATTGGGGGGGGGTGCAGTACCCTCCATCTACCCAGACATCTAAACCCAGACATATATATACATATATAACTATATTACGCTCCCAACTGCTCAATACGATAGTTAATATGAATTCCAACGCCAACTCTCCGCAACCCCCGAAAGTCTAGTCATCGGCCTCGTGCACCACAAAGCCGTAGTAGCGTACAAGAAGGTCGCAAAGGAGCTACCGGGAAGAAACATCAGTATCATCCAAGCCGATTTGACAGACTATGACTCCTTGTTCTCCTATGCTAACGAGTCTTCAAACTTTTTTTTTTTTTGGCTACAAACAGCAAGCAGCCGACCGATGAAGTAGCGCCGTTTGCAAACCTGCATTCTGAATGGTCGATCTTTCACGACCTTCTTGCCACCGCCGGCAGTTTGCTCAAAATTAAATATACCTGTCCCTCTCGCCCGTAGAACGACTCGGAGCCGAACTCCTAGAAAGCTTCTCCATCAACGTCATCGGTTAACATCCACCTGCTTTCTCTCTTCGTGCCCCTCGTGCGCAAGGGGATGACGAAGAAGGTAGTCACGCTCACATCCGGCGGTGCGGGTATTAAATTCATCTCGCGCTATGAGATCACGTCGCAGATACCCTATGCAGTGTCCAAGGCGGCAATGAATGCTGCTACGGGCGAAGTTCAGCGCGCAGTATCGGAATGAGGGGATTTTGTTCATGTCCATTTCTCCGGGCGTGGTGGATAACTACGGGGGTTGGGCGAAAGGTAAGCAAGTTAAAAATGGAAATGGGAATCATGAATCATCAGACTTTGCTTCCCTGGTTTGCCCACCAGTGCAACAATTAGTCACGCTCTGGTTTAACAAAATAAATAAATAAATAAATAAATAAATAAATAAATAAAAAATAAAATAAAAATAATCTATCTAACTAACCCGGCTTCACAAAAATTTACATATAGCAACGCCCGAACAGCTCGCCGAACTGGGCGATATGCTCCATAAGTTATATGACCCCAGTTTCAAGGGGCGATGTCCGTTGAGAAGTCGGTTGGTGCTATGCTGGGGGTTATTGAGCGTGCGAATGTCAATAATGGGTATGCGGGGTCATTTGTGTCCCATCATGGGAACAACCATTGGCTTTAAAAGGCAATGGTTGTTTTTTGTATGTATACTTTGGGCCATGCGTGGGTTCAACGGTTTTTTTTTTTTTTTTTTTTTTAAGCACAAAATTGGTTTTCAAGGATGAATGAAATAATGATCTAGAGAAAAAAAAGGTTTCATTTCTATGATCGCCAAGCGCACTCTCATGAAGAATATAGGTACTACGTAGATAGGTAGATACTAGTTAACTAATGTCGCCATTCATATCCCTAATCTCCACAGAGAGTTTGTCCGGGCCAAGCGCATCATCTCCTGTCGTACTGCCAGACCACAAATAAAAGCAAAAACACCCGGGACTAGGAATAGAAAATGCAGAAAAAAAGGAGATGACACTTTTCTGGAAACAACGAGAACATAAAAAAACGCATAGGAAAAAGCGTACGCCGGACATAATTTTCATGCTAAGGTCAGGAAAACGGAGAGTGCATGGGGGTCCAAGGTGAAGAAGCAAAACTACATGGTCTTTGAAGGCAAACATCTATAACCAGCCCACTCAGCTCAGTACGTAAACTTGAAACTAGGATGGTGGTCTCCAAGATTATTAACTTCATCCTCGGGAAGCTGCAGGAGGTGATCGCGGCGCCCCTGCGCGCGCAGCCGGTTTTCACGATACAAGTACAGCAAGAACACAATGCACGTAAGCGCGCATAACCAGATCAATCCAAGACTCGCTCCGTACCCGGTCGGGTACCGTGGCGCCTCAGACGGGAAGAAGAGGTTACTCGCGATAATGCCACCGGAGTTCCCGATCCCGATCTGCATCGCCGATGATATCCCACGTTTATAATGGCCGCCCATGTTGTTATTTAGCCACGTGATGGTGATGGGATGCGACATGAAGGAGCCGGCTGAGATGGCGAAGACCGCGAAGTAGCGCACGCCCAGGGATACGTATTGTTGGCATAGGAGGATTGTATATCCGATGGATGCGATTAGGCACCCGAGGATGGTGAATGTGAAGCGGTGCCGTATTCGGTCTGAAATTACTGCGGTGATCATGGCCGAGCAGGCGCCGCAGGCGAATATTGGGACGGCCAGGAGTTGTGCGTTTAGCGCGGTCCAGCCTAGATCATGGAGGATGGTGGGAGTGAAGAAGCTGACTGCATATCCACTGTTGACAATTCCCATGTACATTATAATTCTGCAAGAGTGAAGGAAAATGGTGTCAGTAAAAACATAAAGTTCTACAACGATCTATAGAATCAAGGATAGGTCCCGAGGTCTTACCCCAAGTAGATTTTCACGTCCGTGAAGGCGCGTTTCATGGCTGGTTTGTCCAGCCGATCCATTCTCGAATTTTCGCTCTCCGTTGCTAATCGATGTATGAGGATCTTCCTTTCGTCCTCTGTAAGGAATTTTGCGGTTTCAGGCCAATCCGGAATGAAAAATTTCGAGACTGCGGCGGCGACCACCGTCACAGCGCCTTCCAGGATAAATATCCAGCGCCAGCCACTATAACCACATATGCCATCCATTCCTGCAATGAAATACGCCAAAATCTACCAAATTTATCAGCTCTGGGTCATTTTGATAGGATTAGGAATGTCTTACACCACTCATTGAACCCGCCATGATGCTGCAGGCGATGAAAAAATTGACCCTTGTCTGAAGCTCATGTCGCTTGTAGTACATGGAGATAAGATATACGCAACCTACGCATGTCAGATAATAAACGGACAGAAAATCAGTCAAGCTTTATGGACGCTCACCTGGGAAGAATCCTGCTTCGAAAATCCCCAGAAAGATGCGGCAAGTTACCAGCCCAGCGAAACTATCGGTGATCCCTTGGAAAACTGTGACCAGACCTACATAATCATTTTAAGAAATTGCACCAAGAGGACAGCGGAGTGGGAGGCCACTCACCCCATCCTATCATAACACCGCTGAGCCAGGTTGAAGGGGCAACTTTCTTAAGAATGATATTGCTCGGAACTTCGAAGACCATGTATGGAATAAAAAATATGAACAATGCAATGTTGAAATCATGTCCACTCATGTTGAGATCTCTCTCTAGGCCTTGAAGGCGAGCGTTCCCTATGTTGATGCGGTCCAGGAACCCTAGACACATGAGAAAAGAGAGTATTGGAACGACATAGAGATCGCATTTCCAGACAACTTTTTTCTCAGCTTCTCTATCTAAACAATCGATGGAGTGTGTTTCTGTCGCGATAGGAGTATCCGGTGCTTCCTTCGTTGAGTCGGTCATCGTCTATGTCGGTTGGCTGGACAGCGGAATGAAGCATTAAGCGACAAGAATCAATAATTTTATTAAACCACGCAGGAGTGATGCGCACATGGGGAAAAGGGCGTGAATATGTCGAATATTGCAGAAGGTTTGGGAAATTGCATCGGGATTTACCGCAAGCTATATACCAGGCGGTTTTAGGTCTCAGAGAAACTGAGTTAGTAGGTGGCAGTTCGTGGTCACCGGCTACAACAACAATGAGATCAAGAATGACAGCACCATGGATAATTTCCGATATGCGTCTGTCGTAGCATCAACGTCACTAAAGGGCGTCAATGAATGCACATTGAGGGCATGGGCCTCCGGGCTGCATAAACCTGGGAAACGAGCGAGCAAGGAAATTTTAAGACCGGTGGTGTATAGGCAAAGAAAAGGGTATCTAACTCGCATTCTCTGTGTATAATATAATGCAAGATCCTTGTTCCCCTTGTTTGTAGGGTTAGGTGGTCTGGGAACGGCAATTCCAAAGATACAGAGCAATGAGTTTGGCCTGTACTGCCGGATACCGACGGTTGGCAGTTCATGGCGTGGTTGACACGGTGTATTTGAAATGTAGAGTCAAGAAACAAGTATTGGAACTAAAAATGGTAATATAGCTGGAAAATTGTAACGTATTATCGTGCACATACATCAGAGTGCGTCACGTCACATTCGACTAGATAAACCTGCAAGGAGGTCAATCATCAGCATACTTGATGTTCAGGCATTTTCGTGAACCCAAGGAGCAGGCCACGGCGTTAGTCCAGCCTAGGTAAGATGGAGATCATCCGAGCTGGCGTCCAGCTACCATCCAAGGGAGTAGATCTCGAATAGAAAATGGAGCAATTTGGTGCACGCCAACCCAAGTCAAATAAAGGCATAAAGGAAAGTAGAAAAAGCAAAAGCAGAAGAAGAAACGGAAGAAACAAAAATGTTCGATAGGAGCGGAAGCAAGAGCAAAGCATCCACACAAGGATTCGGCTGAACTGAGTCATGCGTGCCACCTTTGTTTGGTTTCCTACTCCAGACTGAAAAAGTGTAGTTCGAGATCATGCTGGCCCATTAGGGTTATTAATCGGCAACTTCTTGGCAGTTGCAGCTCACGAAGACTGGTTGCTTATCGTTACTCCGGAAGGATGCCCTGCTTGACTGCTTGAATTAAGGTAGCTCCAGACCGTTGGGCAATGATAGAATGGAATTTGTCTGGTGCGGAGAATTCAGAGAAGTTACCCGGCTGTAGACATGCTACATTTTAAATATGGTGTTGCCTTATATAGGTCGATCAACTTGCCCGGAAATGATTGGAGGTCTTTCTCGTCCGTCCATTATGGCCCGCAGCGGGTTCGCGTTACGCGCATTTCTTTTCCCCTAGAAAAGAAAAGACTATGTTCTGGAATGCGTATCAGCCTCAGCCTCCGGAAGCCATCTTTGCCCATGGAGTAGAGGACAAAACGAATTTTGTTACACCCGGGAGACGGCTCCAAATATCGCGGCACAAACCCTTGGTGTGACGAGATATTGTAGCATGCCAGCTAAACCACAAAGTTTGAAACCTGGCATACCGGGACTCACATATGAAAGTTGAAGAACAAAGAAACAAACAGAAGGCAATGCGGGACATAATGTGTCGGCTCCATGGTTGCAGTTGGATCTGCAAACTTGGTCATCTCTGCATTGTATGAGCCGTGGATGGATGTTGTTCAAAGAAAGATAGCAAACAGATAGTCACAGATGGGCGTTGAATTAGGCTCATCAAACGGTGGCTTGGCGCGGGACCGGAAAAACAATCCAGCCGGTGCTTGGTTGGAACGAGCAGCCAACATGTCACACCAATCTCTGCATCTCTGCATCTCTGCATAGATAGACATTCATGATTTTCTCGAGGGTGAGATGGTTGAAAGCTGCTCTGGTTTTCAGCTGAGCCATGAATGAACTCATCACGTTGCACATGCATACGTTTTCAACAATTTCAGCCGCTGGCATCCAGATTTATGGCACAGGCACACTATATTATTGCACAACCTCGACAGTTTCTAGAACGCCGGCTAATATGGTAGGTTCAGAGCAGCGAACCAGGCGTATGAAGAGGGTTGCATTCATCAATTGTTCTTGAACGAATATGTCGGCCGTTACCTCCCCCCAGCCCGCGTTTCAAACTGATAACGGCATGCCTCACAACGTATTGTCTGCTGCGAGACAATAACATGGAATATCTTCTGGGCCAATATTTTTTATAAATTTATATATCAAAGCACATCTCTCCCTTCCTCAGTTGAGGTCTAATGCTCTGGCTACATTCCACTATCAGCCGTGGGCGACAAAATAACGCTTATTGAGCGAGACCAATCATGCCCATGCAGAAATAATCATCTCATATCCTATTTGCAGTGGTTGTTCCTCCACTGGGTCAAATAATGCCAAAGATGCTAGGTACTTGACATCGAAGATGCGCTATCATTATCCGCAGTTAGATTCAATGAATCCTCAAGGCAACCTTGGAATTTGAAAAACTCCTATGAGAGGGGGTGGAATCGTCTGCACTCCTTCAATTTTTTGCACCCTGCTGAAGGATGCGATGTTTTTTCATTAGAGCAAATGGGTTGGGAAATATCAATTGAATGATTCCTATGATTCCTACCTAGGCATATTCAACCGGAAGCTCTATCTTTTGTTTCTACCCTATTTCTCTCTTTATTTTACTCGATTTTGAAACTTCTCTATAGTCGCAAAGTATTATTGCTGCAACGTTCTCTTGAGCCGGTATCCCCAATGGGTTAAAATTAGAGAATAATAATCAGGTGGAGTGACCCTCCTAGCATTTGTGTAGAAATTTTTATTCATTCAGCCACTGCATATCGAAACCTACCCAGGAGAGACTAAATACCTGCAAGGGAACAAAGAGATTTATTTATTTATTTTACCAATGGATTGATGACTGCCTTGAGACTGGAAAGACTGGGAAATCTAGACAAGAGCAGGCCCAAGCAATGTAGGTTGTCTTTTCCGGCTCTTCCCTATGCAGAGGTAGTCCATTCATTAAGATGCAAATCTCGGCCTAGATAGTAGTTTAGCTGTGAATTCACTCTTCCCAAAACTCCGTACAAGGACTCGGGATTACAACATCATTCCCTACCACACACAAAACATAGCATCCAGCTCATGGTTATGAATACAGGGCACAGTCCCATACACAAGACCAGAGGAGAGTCGGACATGGTCACGTGATCTCCGCGACAATTCCGCTTTCCGGGCCCGAGCGCGGAACCTTGGAAAACACCCTTGCCCAGCCGAATATAGCCGTGCGGGGAGATCTCCACAACATATCTTGGTAACGCGCGCTATCCCGCAAAACAGGATTCTGTATATATAGTTAATGCGAGGGGTGTATCGTCTAATACGCATCCAATACCCGCACCTGTACTGCTCTAACTGCTTGTGGACAGCGTCTAGTGCGGAATCCGCGGCGCACGCAGCATTTGAGGCGTGAAGGTTTGGCAGTCAGGCAGGATTTTCCAGCTGGACTGTTTCTTGGGGGGGGGGGCGTGTACTCCGTATATATACTACAACTGCAAGCCCTCTCGGCCAGGATGATTCTATGATGCTTCCTGCTGTTCTATACGAACCTGTCTGCTTTTGCCTTTGGTACGGTGTCATCCACAGCAAGAGCACATTTTCCGAACCAGGGATTCAGGAGGCGTCCTCTCTGTACAGCAAATAAAACCCTCTGCAGCGCCGTGTTCAGATGACCGCTACGGCCTGACTCTCTACTATTTCGATATTTCGCTATTTCACTATTTCTCATACAGTAGTGTACTTGCCACTCGCCCTAAATAACGCTTTCATCATGGGTTTCCAATCCGTTGCGGTGGCTGCGATTGCAATCACGTTCTTTCTGATCAGATACCTGAACGGTACCGATGTCCCCAAGATAAAGAATCTTACCGAGATACCGGGAGTTCCGATATTTGGAAACCTCATTCAGCTTGGGGAGGAGCATGCCAAAGTAGCGGCAGGCTGGGTGAAGAAATACGGAGCGGTATTCCAGGTTCGGTTGGGGAACAAGGTGCGTTAAATAAACCAACTATGTAGATCATTAGGGGGGAAGTGCTCTATATACGGATATTGATATATAAAAATTATCTGAGCGTTAGAGAATCATCTTTGCCAATACCTTTGACTCCGTCAAATACTTCTGGATCACCCACCAATCCGCGCTTATCTCCCGCCCAACACTCCATACATTCCACACAGTGGTATCCAGCTCACAGGGCTTCACCATCGGCACATCTCCATGGGATGAGTCGTGCAAGAGACGTCGCAAGGCTGCCGCCACTGCTCTCAACCGTCCCGCTGTCCAATCTTACATGCCTATCATTGACCTAGAATCCAACGTCAGTATCAAGGAGCTACTCCAGGACAGCAAGAATGGGCAGATAGACATCGACCCCAATCCCTACTTCCAGCGATTTGCGCTGAATACGAGTCTGACTCTGAATTACGGAATTCGCATCGATGGAAGCATCGACAACGAGCTTCTGAAGGAGATCTGCCATGTTGAGCGAATTGTTAGCAACTTCAGGAGTACGAGCAATAACTGGCAGGACTATATTCCCTTGCTTCGATTATGGCCAAGTCGTAACTCCGAGGCTAAGGAGTTCCGCCAACGGAGAGATAATTACTTGACTCTCTTGCTGAATATGTTAAGAGAAAGGATAGAGAACGGCACAGATAAACCATGCATCACTGGAAATATTCTGAAGGACCCCGAGGCTAAACTAAATGAAGGTAAGCTAAAAAGGAAAAGTTATTTACCATGATTCTCTAGGTTTGAAATTTCTTCCTAATTTGCCTCTTTTTTTTTTTTTCTTTACATGCATCATAAAGAATAACCATCTAACATAAAAAAAAAAAAAAAAATTATAGCTGAGATCAAATCCATCTGCCTAACCATGGTGTCTGCTGGTCTCGACACCGTCCCCGGAAACATAATCATGGGCATCGCGTACCTTGCCTCTGACCATGGCCAAGAAATTCAAGCCCGCGCCTATAATGAAATCATGAAGGTATATCCAAACGGAGACGCCTGGGGAAAATGCCTCGTCGAAGAAAAAGTTGCCTACATCACCGCCTTGGTCAAAGAAATCCTCCGTTTCTTCACCGTCATCCCTATCTGCCTCCCCCGCGTCAGTATTAAGGATATCCCCTATGAGGGTGCAGTTATCCCAGCTGGTACTACATTCTTCATGGTATGCATTCCCGTGTTCATCTATACCTGATTCCCCTCCCCCTTTCATACATCGTGTTTCTCCAATCTCCAACGCCTAAACCAACAATATATATTTAAAAAAAAACAAAACCTAACACCGCATCCCTCCCCTTCCAGAACGCCTACGCTGCCGACTACGACTCCACCCACTTCAAAAACCCCCACCTCTTCGAACCAGAACGCTACCTAAACACCTCCGACGGCGCCGGAACCCCCCACTACGCCTACGGCGCCGGCTCGCGCATGTGTGCCGGCTCCCACCTGGCTAACCGCGAGCTCTACACCGCCTTCATCAGGCTGATCACGGCCTTCCGCATGGTACCCGCGAAGGATCCCAAGGACCATCCGATCCTCGACGCGCTGGATTGCAATGCGACGAAGACGTCGCTTACGTTGGATCCGAAGCCGTTTAAGGTTGGGTTCCGGGTTAGGGAGCCGGCGAGTTTGGAGAAGTGGATTCGGGAGAGTGATGAGCGGACGAGGGAGTTGTAGGGGGATGTTGTTGTTTGGGGGGGTTGAAGTGAGGAGTATTTGATCTATTTATGAGATTTTGGTATCACGGTCTCTTTGCACTTTTGTGAATGAGTGTTGATTCTAATCCATATTTCCGACGCGGTGAGAATTTCATCAACATAATGTATGGGATTGTTGCGCACATTGTTCATGGCATTTTATTTGACGGACCTGATCTTGTTATGACCCTATGCTATGTATTGCTCTCTGGATGCAAAAACTGTCTTTGCCCGGATAATTTTTTTCCGCCATTACCTTCCCGCCAAATTTGTTCTGCTATGCGCTTTCCCCCATTATTGTCCCTTTGTATATATATATATTTGTATATGAGAATTTGTCGAAAGGGGAGACTGAATGGCAATTGCATTTGATGGTGGGCTTCCCATGTTTTAGGCGGATACACTCGGTAACTACCACTTAACAGATATTGTCAATATTATTGTGAGGATTAAGAGAGGTAAGGAAAATCAGTTACTCACTCGTGTATTCCTGGGCAAGCCAACGGAAATCTAAGGAATGGGTGTATTGTATGTACATACAAATACTCCGTACATGTACAGTATATTTCTGCGAATTCGGGGTAGGTCTCTGGTTCAAGTGATTCAGGGGTCAACCTTGGAAGTTAGGGCTAGATTCGGATTGGGGTTAGGTTAGCGCGTTGTTTAGTTAGCTAACTGCTCCTTATTGGGTTTGCGTTGTATTATTTCCGAAAATTAGTTCATCAAGCAACTTTTCAAGCTCTACAAATTCATTCGAGGCGAGAGTAGCAATCACTTAAAAATACAGGGAACATTCATTACGCCATAACTCCAGAGAACACCAGGATAATACCCAAAGAGGGAAAAAAAAAATTCACTCATTTGAAACCACCGAAAGAAACCGCGAAATGCTGCTCAACCAAAGTCGGGTCCGTATCAGTTTGACGTGGATCGCACTCGCAAACCTGGACCAAAGAAAAGGTTTAACAATGTTACCTATTTCTCATCCCAGGCTGTCGGCGTAGTCGGCCTCGTTCTTCCCGCGTATCCTCTCAGCTTGAACGAATCGCTGCGTCGGACTGGTGAAATGTGGCCATCTTGTTCTGGACTGAGCTGTGACGCTGTAGATTGAGTTTCCACATCTGACCTTCGGTTTACGCCTCTGGATTTTCGGATTGTTGATATGAGACCGGGGAGCACACCTCCCTGTTCGCTGCTACACGCGGGACCTACTCGACTTGTGTCCCGACTCTTCCCTTTCGCTTTGCGGACGCAAACAACTACGGTTGCAGCGCTCGATACTGCAATGACTATGCCGAGAATAAGATAGAGAATGTTCCGCAGTCGTCGGCGTTGCTTCGTAAAATGCCTTCTGATGAGTTCTTCGTTTCGGGGATTGCACATTTTGCACATCTTCGATTTCTCTGCTGACGTCTCCATGGCATAGGAGTATACATGTGGGCGTTCGAACGGGCGGCAATCGGTCACCTCGCAACTTTGCTGCTTTACATTTGCCATCGAAGCCCGTTTCTCGATGGTGTTTTCCCCCTTATCATATGATTTTTCCGCATCCCGAGAATTACTGTCCTGCAAACCACTGCTTTGTAGATAAGGATTCTTCTCAGCAGGGGCATGTATTTCTTTCCGTTGAGTATCCAACCATCGGATGAGCGAGAAGATTGCCTCTCTGCACGACCGCAACTTCGAGCCCGAAACCGTCACCGGTTGTTCTGCATCCGTTTCCGAAGCGAAGGGCATGAAGATGTCTTCGGCGCATGTCTCCAAATCGCCAAGCACACGCCGTAACCCGTGGCCGGATGGAATTCCAGGCCTCACGATTTTACCATACTCCCCATTTGGCTCTGCGTTTCCGTCGTGATGCTCTTCTATTGACCCCGGAACAGCAAACCGCGCAAAACGTGTTGGGTGGGTACCGTCATATATGCCGCTCATCGGTTCTGCCTGCTGCAACTGCGCTGCCGATCGTCGTGTAATTTCCCATTGCCCTCCTTGCCTCTGTGGCAAGGCTGAATGAACGGCTAAACAAGTGCCTTGTTCTAAAATGTATATCATCGCGACTCCACACGCAATCCATGTCGACGACTCGCTTAAAGAGGGAAACATTTTTTGAAGGCGGGAGACAAGTTTTTGCGTATGCGGAATCCGGGTGTTAATAGGGTATACGTATAAAAAATTGATATACAGCTGTCTATATGATAAGGATACCTTTCTCGACATGAAAGTCTCAACACGAAATTCTCAACAGGAAATCATAGTTATCATGCCCAAGCCGATTGATTGCTCATTCCTTGGAGTTTTTTGACCCGGGTATTTCTTTCCTCGCAGTGCTTGACAAGTCACTATACCCCTGGCAGGCGCTATCCTATACTTTAATGCTTTCTTTGTCATTCCAGATAATATTGAGAAGAGCCAATGCATGATGAACATGACTCTGTTCATTGTAACTCAAATGTTCTCTTCTCTTCAGCAATCATTCTGGTGTCAGGAAATGGAAAGCTTACATTCACGGGGTTTTCTATGCTCACCCCGTTAGAAGAATATATTCTCTCTTCTAATGTAAATGATCTAAGATCCCAAATGGAGCTGATCCCTTTCAATATCCTAGGTTGTGCGGGATAGCTCAGCTCAGGGTTGGCGATATCGACTTCATGTTTTGCCCCAACGCATCAATATCAATACCGTTTGGGCCATGCGTTGATTTCAACATAAGTACACAACTGTATTGTTACTAAGCTTGAGGTCTTCTTCTCTTTCTGTCTCTTTTATCTTCTCAGTTTCCCAGTAGGCGTTCTCTGGCAGCACTCTTCCTGCCCTCCTTTCTCAACTCTCCCCTCATCTCCATCTAACCTCCCTAACATCTATTCAATCATCTACCCCAACATAATCACTCTTCACGATTAGTGCCTATTTCCGAGCTATTTAGCTAGCAGATAAATCGCCATTCTAGGCATTAACACGTCAAACGATGGCCCCTATCACAGTTAGCAACCAACAATGTGTTCGAGTCAACCCCTGTCATCTCGTGGGGCCTGATTCGGATGCTGAAGAACGCAAAATTATCACTACTGTCTCTCGCCCAAAATCCCACGCAGTATTCTCGTCCAAGCAGATTCGCCTACTAGGCCCCTTGCCCGCGAACCATAGGCATATCTCTCCGCGAGTACCTCGTTGGCATTGGCAGTCGACAAGGGTCCTCGCCCAAACCAGTTGAAGCCTTGCCTAGCCCGGCCTCGACAGCCTGCTACACACATTATGGTGATGCTCCCTTGAGTGCAGAACAGTTTGAAATAATGTGGCAGTTCGGTCGCTTTGCGAAGACGGGGAAGGTTGTGGGGCTGGGCCATCGGATACGGTTGAGGCGGCGCGTTCTGCCTTCAATGGGTCTAGTCGTACCTATGCCTACAGGTTGGACTGAGACACATTTCGCTCTGTTCTTTGAGGAGTATTGTGCGTTTAAAGCCGCTGCCAGTGCTACGATTGATGGCTTCAATAATGTATCAACTTCGAAATGGGGGGATGTGAAACCTCTCAGAGAGTTAAACGAGGATGAACTCAGTCGCTACTTCATTGATACCAACCAACGTTCACCAGGCAGCCCAAACTGGCTTTCCAAGCTTGACCTGACCCTTGACAATCTTATTGCGGTGAAGGAGAAGACGAGACGAGAGAAGGCAAAGGTCCGCTGGAAAGCTCCAGCCCGCACTACACAAACTGGCTCTACCATGTTTTTGCCAACAGGTTGTCGTCACCACCGTAAAACGCCCGGATAATATATATGGCCTACGTCGTTTGAATCGACTCCGCCCTGGTCAACGTCGTCAGGATAGTAAACACCACAATGACCTATTAGCCCAGTGCGCCGAACGAGCGAAATCTCGTGAGAGAAAAGTTTCTACGTCATCGTCGGAGGGATTCATTAATTTGAAGAATGGCCGAAATCTCTTTATCATTTCTAGGTAAATTCTGGGCAACCATCCCAATTTGGAAAAGGTGGGAGGCGTCTTTGCTATAGCGATATTTTTCCAAAAAATTTCTTTTTTTTTTGAATCGTACGTTCCCACCCCTTTTTACGGGATATTATTGGCGTTGCTCGACAACTCGATTTCCCTTTAAGACATACCTACCACTGGAAGTTTTACTGGCAAAGTTTTTCATCTCCAAGCTTTTAGAAGTTTCTTTTGTCATCTTTTTTTAAAAAAAATTTCTAGAATGGAAAAAAGCGTGGAGATGTAGTTATTCCTAAATCCTAGCTACGCATGGAATTGGAGGGAAGTGATATTGAATAGTGACGCTACTTGCTATCTTTCATTACCAAATGGCCCTCTGAATGATATTTAACTTATTTAACGAATTCAATAATGGGAAGCTCAAGACGATTAAGAAACGCTATGACTCAATACATCAATGGATACCTGTGGACATTGGATATCCGCTTTTCTCTCCTGTAACCAAAATTAAATACTGAATCTTCGTATGGTTAGTGATACATAATCGATTTATAGCTTGGAATTTTACATACTAAGCATGTAGACTATTCCTTTTTCTTTTCTTTTATTTGTATTTTATTTGTATTTGTATTTTTATTTTTATTTTTAGCTAACCCCCCCCGTCCCCATTGATTACCTCTTCGTCCAAGCAAGATTAGCTGTGCTGGCATTGGTTGCAAACCATCTACAGAAGGAAATGAAAGACGGAAAGAAACGGATGGGGGGGCTTGAGCAGCGAATTTCATAGAGCAATTAATATATATAATTATATATATAATGCGTTCACTAGACACAAATAACAAAAACTTTGAATGAAAACTGCTGATGTACTATAACAAGATTTTGAGAGGCAAGTGTATAAAGGGGGGGATGGTGAATTGATGGAATAATAAAACAAGGCACGCGGTGTGCCAATAAATAAGGGAGAAGAACATAACTTTAATGAAACAAATGAAGTGAAATGAAAATTGAAAAATGAAACGGGGATAGAAGGAAATCAGGAGAAGTAAAAATCTTTTTGAATGTAGTGGAGGGAGGTATCATAAGCTGATCATCAGTTATAGGAGTGCAAACAGCGCAAGTCCGGTATTATATTTTGGAAAGTACTCGGGGGCAGATAGAGAGTGGGGCTCCCCTGGTCGATAAGTGTGATGTTGAATAGATCGGGAGAGAGGAGTAAGTTGAATTAGGTGGAGGATCGAGAAAGTGAATGGAAAGCAACACACAAAGAGGCGTGATAAGAGGATAATCCGCTAACATTGCTTCCAATGACATAACTATGGAATTTGCTGCGGCTTCTCTGCTTTTCTCAGTATACCCGTGGGTATTGATTTAATCGGGAGGTTTTGTGATTGTGCAGGGCAGTTTGCTGTTATGAGCTTCCCAGCCCGCTCTCATCCTATTTCATTAGCAGGCCGCAGAAAAGGAATGGCCGTAGCATCCTCTCAAATATTTTATATATTTTTCGTAATCTCTGATATCAACTTCTAAGATACCCATTCTGCGTATGCGCTAATGGGTTATGTTGCTGCTGCTGGTGGGGTTGTGGTTGCTGAATATATTGTGGTTGCACGGGGTGCATCGCATACATTTGTGTAGGGAAGGAAACGGGAGGCATAACGGGAACCAAATCAACATGGTGCTGGGCCCACTGAGCGAGACTTTGCCTCAGTCTTTTCTCTAAATGCACAGAACTTCGCTGGAACTCATCCAGTAAACCTCTCATTTTCCATCGATTGTGGGCGTATTCTAAAATGGAGCAAATGCTCTGTAGACATTTCAGTGCCCGCCTAGCGGAATCAACTCGCTCCGCTGGGGATACGTATGGCGGTTGGTGTGTTCCTGGCGGTACGGACGCGGATGGTTCAGTGTCTTGCAGGATTTCATCGTACGCTTGGTCGAGGGCGTCTATGAACTTGCTAGCTACTGTGTAGACGCGTTGGATGTCGATGTAAGAGAAAAACAGCGACCAGCTGGTAGCGCTGATGATTTGGTGTATTTGTGAGATGAATTTGGCGGCATATTCGAATAACAGAATCCGGTGCAGTGTAGTTACGTTCGGGTTATAATTTGATGGGGAGAGGAGGATCACAAAGGTGTAGAAAAGCTCGACGTTGTAGAAGACGATGAGATGGCCTGGCAAGGTTCTCGGTATTGCATTAAACCAGGTTTGAGCCTCCGCGCAGAGTTCCCATGTGTACGAGGCGGGCTCTGGGGCTGGATTCCGCCCGCTAAAAAACATGGTTTGATATGCCTTTGATTGGATACTGCGGATTTTGAACAAATATATAGCTGGTTCGATGCTGTTGGCGAATAGGGTCGCGGTCCAGCTTAGTGTCCCCTCAATTGGCTGCAGTGGAACTCCTGGGAGAGGAACATTCGTCGAGTCATCTGAAAACGAAAATGCTAGCCCAAGTGCGACGCTTACATATCTAGAGTCGTATTAATACTTGAAGAATAAATATCTTCCGGCTATTTTGCTTACCGGTCAAAAGAATGTACGCAATGGAAAACCCTCTGACGAAGATCTAAGGTTGTTTTATTCAGGTATGTCTCTGAGAGTTGCTCTTGGTGAACACCCAAATCAGATACGACTCTAGCAGCACTGCCAACCAGGTGCCAAGTTCTGAAGTGCTCTGGATCAAGCATTGAGTACTGTGCCAGTAATAAAATAGCTTGGATACCAACGATGGACCCGGGATGAAGAACATCATTAGCGTATCCTAGTGCAATCGAAACGTGATGCCTTGCTAATTCAGAATGTGAGGTTGAAGCCTGAGAGATTGCCAGAACCATGTGTACAATCCAATAATCAAAACTTTTCGCGAAACGGCCTCCTTCTTGATACACGGCATCGAAGGACGCCCAAAAGTTGGTCTGTATAAAGAAGGGAGACAGAACATAGATATTGTCAAGGTAATGTTGAATGAGAGTAGTAGATAGGGGCCGGGCCGGAAGGCCCCTATTTACCCCTACATTCTGCAGAGGTTTTGCCACAGCTACTGTTAAAAGCAGCCCGGCAAATGATGTCGAGGATGTGATGCCATAAAAATCTCTCGATGTCGCGTTAACTGAACTGGAATGGGTGTGAGTATTTAGCTCGAAGTAGTGGGTGGGTTGCAAGTTGATTAACCTACAGGAAGCCAAAATCTCCCACTAAGTCATCGATATCGCATGCTTCTTCGCGATGGGTTTTCGTCCCGCCTCCAGGCGATACCGGCTGGCCGGTATAGCTCGGCTCGATCGCGGCTCCCTCTATGATGGCATTCTGCCGACGCCGCTTCGCCTCGGCGATTTCTTTCTCAAGCCGTTCGCATTGGCCCTCAAGAGCGGCCACATAGCTTCGTTCTTTTCCCTTAGCGAATTCATCAGTAGCCCCAGGGCAAGTAGACGCTTTCCCGGCCCGTTCGCAAGCAGAGCAGGCAGGAAGTTTGCCGTCGCATTTTATTTTGGCTGTGCGGCACCTCGAGCATGCTGCCACAGGGCGACTGACTTTGAGGAGCGGAGTCTCCAGACCGGGAGGAAAAGAGGCCATCACAAGATTTTCAAGTGGACTATGGCATTGTCAGCCAACTCTAAGCAGCCAGAGCAACGGCATACATGAATTGGAGATAGAGAACACATAGTTCATATGCAATTTCAAGGAATGATTGCGATAAGTAGGCAGACAGCTTTTTATGCAAGCGGGAGGGTACAGTTCAATGGGTATGGTGTATGGAGAGGCAGTTCTTCAAAACTTATGAAGAAAAAAAAGAGCTAGGTAATAAACCTTTGGTGCTAGTTTATGCTTAACAGGTGTTGCTAAGCTATGGAGCCGACACGAGGACAGGCGTGATTCCGCCAACGTGGGAACAAACCTGAATCATTCCCAATCAATCTGCTGGAAGCTAAGAGATTTCCAAATCTTGATCCTCAGGCGGTAACTAGCATCCACCAATGACGACTTGATGTAACTATCTTGGGTGTTGCGTGCGAGGGAAGGTTCCTAGCAGGCAGCTGAGAACCATTCAGCCTTATCGGGCAAACCCGTGCAGCAGGGTGGGTTTGTACCGATAGTTAACTTCGTCAGGCTGATGATCCTGCAGCGGGGGATCTGGCAACTCTGGTATATATGAGTGAACGGCAGGAAACTTTGAGTCCCCCGTTCTTGCAAACCAAATATTTATGTCAGTCTGTGAGAGTTGGATTGTCCCCTGTGTCAAAATTTCAAAACGCAAAAGGTGCAAGCAAGCACGGCACATGGGGGTTGGTTGGCACTGACCGCTCCACAACGGGAGTTGGGCCTTGAGGAGGTCTTAGTCTGAACTATATTAGTGGCGCCTGTTCTTCCTCATGTCCAATTTGCGGTTATCCAATCCTGTGTTCGCACCGTCTCGCTGAGGATCGCACCCACCAACCAGTACCAGTAAAATTCGAGGCGGAGGATTAGGCTAACGCTCCCTTGCAGCTCCAGCCTGGGTTGAAGAAATTCAAGTTGGTATCCAATTTTTTTTCAGTGATCCGGATGCCCATTTCTGGCGCGGATGCAAGTGTGTGAATCGCGAATTTTTCGCATGCCAATGCAGCCGGCTTCTGCATATAGAGAAGATCGAGGCTGACAACTTGCTGGGAAGATTACCACCGCAAAGGCGATGTCCGGTTGGATTATCCGGCACCCAACCAGCAGCCAGTGGTTTTTGGAATTTCCACCGTGTCCGTAGTATTTTGTCCCTTTATTCCCTGCGTGACGACACTATGGCGTTGGGGCCTGACCCCTGGGCCAACAACGTTCTACAAACGTCGTATATTTAAAGTCAAGTCAAAGTCAGGTCAGGTTGATCCCGGTGCAGGCGGAGCGGTGACTAAGCGCGGTTTGTCCCATCTGTCCTTGCTATACAGAGTACATCATTGCTACAACTACATCATTGCTACAACTACATCATTGTTATTCAAGCTGGGTTTCGCCTTATTATTACGAACATTCACGGCCGCCGCACGGATCGCACCTATGACATCGCCTGTTTAGATACAAGCTCCTTTCTATGAATCCAGAATGCGGACGGCTTGAACAGCCATCTATGATCTCTAGGACAAGAAGTGATTTTCAGCGCAACCCGGTGAACGCATCGTGTGTTTAAGAATTGAAATGTGGTGGGGATAAAACTCCCCTTATTCCCCGCACCAGAATGCCAACCCCATATTTTGTCTCCCCACCCCGTCTGGAGCACCGTATGGGGTATGGGTTTGCTGGGCTGATCGGGAGCAAACAACCACTTTTGGTGCCTCAAAACAGATCGAAGAGCCCCTCTGGAGCCTCCTAATATTGCTGAAGTCGACTTGTCTCCAATCCAACTATAGTCGTTTCGTTTAGCTCTAAACCTGCTCGTTGGGATGCGAACGAGAGGGAAAGATGATCCTTAATGCCGAGCCGGACTCAGCTTGTCCGGACATGGTATGTGCCCAATCACAAAGGAGCGAATCCCAAGAGGAAACTTCGACGTCCCTCTGGTAGCTCAAGATATGGGGTAGCACAGTTTCCATCATCCTTTGTGAGCCTGTCCTATGCAGTCGCTAATGGGCCCAAGGCTTCTACTTCGGTAATCTGAAGCTGGATTCCTCCCCTCTTGTGTCATTTTTTATTGCCGCACTCTCCTTTATCAACTGGGATTGAGATTTGCGCATATAAAGGCGACGGAATGTCCAAAATGAGAACTCATCCTTGAAAATATTAGGCTTAAATCCGAGTCACTACAATTGAACTGTGTGGCAGCCTCATATCCCGCGAAGAGCACTCTTTTATCTGGGGAGATGAAACAGGCGAGCACTTTCCAGCCATGATAGAGTTTGCTACGATTGAAGGGGTGAAGATGGTCCCTGGAACCGTACGCATTGTCGACTGTAGGTAACGTTTATCCCTCGGATCCATTCACATTTGAATTGGGAACTGACGTAAGGATCAAATCTCTTTAGTGGAAGGTACAATGAATGTAAAACATCAGGAGGGAGGGAAAAACGACATTGTCCTTGTACCTCAGCCATCGAACGACCCAAACGACCCCCTCAACTGGACTAAATTCCGCAAGGAGTATCATTTCTGGCTCCTGTGGATCTGGGGGTTTATAGCTGCAGTCTGCGTCAATTGGGTTGGGCCAGTCTGGGTATGTTCAGCCCATGCAGTGTGCATCACACCTCTAGCCTCATCTCCAACTCGAATCCTCGACTGATGCATTTTTTTAAGACACAATTCACCATCGATCTGAAAACTACTTTTTTCGACTTGAGCATTGGGTCAAGCTTTTGTTTCCTGTTCCTGGGACTAGGCTGCGTCTGCTTGCAGCCCATTGCCATGAAGATTGGTAGACGACCTGTGTATATGGTTGGCTCCTTTCTTAATCTTGCAGGCTGCATTTTGGGCAGATACCAGACAACCGTTCAGATGTATTGGGGAGCAAACATTCTCACGGGATTTGGTGCTGCGCCCGTGGACTCTCTGGTACAAATTTCGACGACCGATATTTTCTTTGCGCATGAAAAAGGCACCAGACTGAGTTTGTACGTATTCACGATATACGCAGGGTCATACCTTGGCCCTGTTGCGGCTGGACACATCGCCGACTCTCAGGAGTGGCGTTGGTGTTACCAATACCTCATCATTTTCTTCGCTGTCCTTCTGGTCATCCAGCTATTCACAATGGAAGAATCTACATTCCGCAGGCCTCCTACGTCCTCTGAGATTTCCGGAGACACAGCTGCGATGTCTCATCATGCAAATCAAAATTTAGAAGCTGTGAAAGTCGAGGCCTATGTGTCACATGACGTCGACTGTGACACTTCTGAGCATTCAGCACCACCTCCGAAAACTTACTGGCAACGCATGGGACTATATAACACTTCCTATAGCGATCCACGGCCATTATGGCTCGTTGCTCTTAGCCCGTTCACACTAGTAACGTACCCGGCAGTCATGTGGGCGGGTTTCATCTACGGCGTACAGATTATGTGGCTCTCGTTACTCAACGTGACGCAATCTGACCTTTTCTCTAGGGACCCGTACAACTTCAGCATGGCGAACGTTGGCAATATCAATTTTTCCTCCTTCATTGGTGGCATAGCGGGAATGATTTGGGGCGGATATGTGTCCGATTGGTGCATCATCTTCTTGTCTAGGCGCAACAAGGGCATTTTAGAACCTGAGTTTAGGCTCTGGACGATGCTTGTTCCCGCAGTCATCAATACTGCGGGGATACTTATGTATGGCCTGGGGGTATTAAAGGGTACGATGTGGATCCTCCCAGCAGGATTCGGTATGGTGTTTATTGCCTTCGGAATCGGAAGCGGCGGTGCAATTGCAATCACGTACGCGGTACACTGCTACCCGCGCATCGCCTCTGAAAGCTTGGTGCTTATGCTCTTTATTCGAAATATTATCGGTTGCGGGTTTACTTTTGCCAGCCAGTATGTCATCTCTCTCTCTCTCTCTCTCTCTCTCTCTCTCCCCCTCTCTCTCTCGTTTTCCCCATGCTCCCCTCTAGCATGTTTAGATGAATGGCTGCATTAACTAACTCTGGAACCCATCTTTTTCAAGGCCATGGATTAACCATCACGGCTTGCAAAACACCACCATCATCATGGCAATGATATGTCTAGTAGCCAATCTGTCTTCTCTTCTAATGATTTGGAAGGGAAAGCGATTGCGCGAGTGGACTGCAAAGCGCTATATCAGAGTGATGCAACAGAAAGATAAGGAGGCGTTGGCCATCTAGGTGGATAATTCCGGAAATCGTGAGGAACATGGTGTTCGAACGGATGTCATTGTTTTAATGCAAGAGGCGAATACCGGATTCCAGTATGGCATCTCGTCTAGTCCGTATTATCCGTAAACTCGGAATCGGACCCGTGCATGTACATGTACAATGTACGTACATACGTGCATACATACAAAGAAAATTTTTCCAGTACATAGAAATTGAGCACCTTACCTCCACCGCACGACATTCAGCTAGGTATTATTATTATTCCACAAGAAAAACCTGCACCACCGTTACAGATAAACTATAAAACCAAACTTAAAACTCCATATCGTATGCCAATGCGTCATCGCATATCTCTTCTCGTAGCTTTTGCACCCTGCTCCAATATAAATCAATGATAAATTTTTTTAAAATAAAAATAAAAATAAAGGTGGGGAAAGAGGAGGAGGAAGACCGCTGACATACACCAAATGCGACGGATGCCCTGCATATACCGAGATATCATCCGGCTTTTCCAAAATGGCCAACAAGCCCATATCATACCCCTTGGCCCGGGATGCTGTCATGGCCAATGGTGGGTTATTGTGTATTTCGCGAAGGCCTGTTCAAAAAATGTTTCAGGAATTCGTGCCTTTTTTTTTTCTTGCTTCTAAGGACGGTATCTGCAATGGAACTTGAAGTTCTCCCTTTTTGGGGGGGAACTCGGGATCTCCAACGCTTCAAGCATGGCTAACGTAGTGTAGGTATTTGAAACGCAACCGCTGCCAATGCGATGTAACTACCACTCACTGTTCATGACATAAACGTACCTGGGACCTGCCCAACCATAGCCTTGCATGCCTTCTTGAATTCATCTATCTGAGCCGCCGTGACGCCGGGCTTTAGCTTGAAGAGGACTGTGCGTGGGATTCAGATTGGTTTTAGCGTTTTTTTTTTCTTTCTTTCTAGAGAGGTAACTAACTAGTTATGGTGGGCGAAGAGGAAGGACGCAGGGAGGTGACTGAAAAGAACGCACCTATGTGGAATACTGCCATTTTGACACTGTGTCGAGGGGAAGGAAGTCTGATTATATTGTACTATTTGTTTTCTAATTTATTTACTCTGATACCTGTCGAGGTTGGTGAGGAATGATCAAAAGACGTCACGTATATTCAGGTTTTCTCAGGTGAGGGTGCGGAAGACTGCCGATTCCGGGCGGTTCGACTGAGTTAAACCAGCGGCGGGATACAACCACGGATCGCGTGGGGCTCGGGGGCTTAGTTATATAACTCATAAGTCCCAAAGCCAGGGGATGAGAACTAACAGATATACCTATCTCAAATGTACGGAATACGGGCGTGTGTGGGAAATCTCCTAGAAATATAGATATGAATGAATAGATGTGACTAAATAAATATGTAGTATCATTGGCGTTGAGATTTAACTACGTAGTCAACTATAATACGTTAATTAAGTGTGTCAGAAGACAATATCAAGTAACTACTAAAAATTCATAACTCCGTGTCTAAAAAAGGAATCCCAAACATCAGCCCCCCCCCCATCACCAATCACCATCCATCAATCATTGATCACATAAATAATAATAAGAATGATAACAACCCAGAAAGCTCTACTTTACAGCTTACTATCCTTCACAGGAATATCCTGCGAACTCTGACGATGTGATTCAGGTGCCCGCTGAACCTTCCCACCCGCAGCACAGCAATCGTCAGTCTTACCATCAACAAGCACGCTCGTTGGGTTTTTAGTCCCAGGAACATCCAACGCAGGGTTACGATCAAAGAAATCAGCAGGTCGCAGGTGCACTTCCATTTTCTCAATTGGCATCACGGGCCAGTCCTCCACGCGAGGATTGTGACTAAGCCCAAAGACCGACCAGATCACCACGTCGGTGTCAAGGGTGTTTTCATTTCGGGCGGCAGCGTCGCCAACGCCGCCCCGTTCGGTCCGGGACTGATTGGTGAATTTGCCGCCGGCAAAGAATTCGCCGTCCCTGTGTCTCGTCACCCAGACGTGGTGTTTTGCGAACTGGGCACGCTGCGCGACGGTGGATCGAGGGTCCGCGAGCAGAAGCTGTGTAGCTGGGGGAGTAAATTTGTAGGAGACGGGGCGGCCGGAAATGGGGTTTAGAACGTTGGTATTGGACATTTTGATTGTTAAGTTGGTGCTTGGAGAAGCGTCGAATCCGCCGGAAGTGGCTACCGGCTGCGTAACTACCTGATAGCCATTCCCGAACGGATTGGTATGGATATCCATGGGCATTGGTAGAGATTCTTCGCGGAAAATTGTATTCCGATAGCCATTGATCGCGGGGTCAATGCGAAGACAGAATATGTGCTGATGGTTCTGAGCCAAGGCGCCGGGAGATACTACATTACCCCACGGGGAGGTTTTTCCGTGATCAATGTTAATCACTGAGACAATACCAGTCGCTCGGGTTTCGACAGTAATTCCTCCGGCTTGGTCAAATTTGTATGCGAAAATATACTCGTAGTTGGCAAGAGTGATGATGAACTGCACCACAAGTTCACGATAGCGGGTAACCACAGCCCTGTCGGTACGGAAGTTAGTGTGCTTCCATCCGATGCCGTTGTCCTGTTCGTGGACGCAGACTACGTTCTTAGCCACGGAAGGCTGACCTGACGCGTCGATGTTAAATCCGTCCAAGTATTGGATAACACCTAGGCAATCACAGCCCAAAGCCAGATTGTTAGCAGACCGCCCAGCGCCACCATCGCCAAAATCAAAGGCTTGCTTTCGATGAAATGGAGGCCGAGGGTCCCCATAGGGAACCGTCATTTCAGAGAAACTCAGGCGATATAGAACGCTCCGCCCATCATAATGGATATCGTGAATGGTAGCGCCTTCTCGAGGGTTGAATCCAACACGAAATCTCCATTTCTGCCATTCGACCAAACTGCCATTGCTCACTTGGAAGGAGGGTCCTTCGGGCTGGAGTACATTAAGCGGTTTGAGGTCCGTTCGTAATTTTACGTCCAGAAGTTCAGGGACATATTCAGACGGGCGAGTATGGTCCAATACGTTTGTCGGGGTAGTGTCGCAAGCTAGGCCATCACCGGTCCCTCCCGTTGCGAGCTTGTCGACCCTGATGATTTCTCGTTTGTGGAAATCCATTACTGGGATGAGAGGAATTGGGTACCCGTAATGATTGGAGTTTGGATTTCCATTCCGAGTGTCCTTGGCGAAGCAAAGCCCCTGCATGTAACGAATATCTGGCTCTCCATGGTCGAGCCCGCCATATGGCCACGGATCAATCTCAAGGACGAATCCCTCTGGTAACTTGAATTTGGATACAGCTTCCTGGAACAATGGGGATGTCATGCATGCCTCGTTAAATGAGTAAAATTCCTCCCTTGATAATGTTAGCATAGGTCGTTGCATTTGCGAATGAAGAACAAAATTATGTCTTTTAATATAGGATAAGCCTTACAGTGTGAATGAGGGCTGCATTGAACTATCAAAGGCCTGACGGGACACCTCTTCCTTTAGATCCAAGTCAACCACGGCTTCAAAATACTTATGCGTCTTGTCTGAGTGGATGGTATCATAGTATACGTTGGCCAATCGTGGTGGTCGTGGAGTGGAAGAAGTGAGTGTCCCTCCATGTTCCGCTGCCAGGAAGCTTGTTAAAGAAGCTTTGGCCGGCTCTTCGAGGAATATCGAACGAAACTGGATCAGGACCCCTGGGTTAACCTTGAAAATGACATCTCGAGCACAGTGGATCTCAGTTGCCCGCAGCTGTTCGAGTGGATGTGGTAACATCTTTGAAGTTTAAGGAGGCAGTAATATGCAGTAGTGTTTCAATACACTCAAATAGGGGTTTAAGAATCAACGTAGAAAGAAAATGAGAAATTTATATGCTCTTTCTCCACAAAGATATTAACCGCCATATATAGCGGTTAAGGAATCGGGGGGTGGGGGACGGTTAAATATGGCAGCGAGAAGGAATAAACCCCGCAGCAGGTTTCATTGGCCAAGGATACGAGAAGGGCGCGTGGTCCCTGGGGATTGAATATTTGGCCCCGCGACCAAGGTCAAGCAGCCACGGAGCGAATGCCGACTGGTTTCGGCTTGCAAGTCGGCAAGTTTATATAAAACTAATCTTGGAATTCAAAGCAAGTCCCCGAGTGTGCCCACAATACAGCGCGGGAAGGGAAGCTGGCTTTATCTGATCATCTGATAAGGTTCGGCACAGAGACTCGGCTCCGATCGGATATTTGGGGTTATTTTTCTAGAATTACTCCTATTTTTTTCTGGATGCCCGAGACTCTCCTCACATCATTCATCATCGTCATCGTATCATTATCGCCATCGCCTCATCGCACAGCAGCCAACTTAACGGCCAACACATACCCTGAACGGAAGCCGGAAAGCGCTCCGAAGCTTTCCCAGTGTTTCCGCCGTCTTGGCACGCGCGTGCTGACTAACCTGAAAGGCGAACGACGCGCCCAATAATGGGCGGTGACAATTGGCGATGTCGCGATACATACCCATGGGCCATGACTAGAATTCAACGAGAATGGTTGCAGGAAAGGGAGTGATTTGAGCATTATGGATATTTGCTTTTGACAAAGTTATCTTTCCTTGGCCACTACACTCCAGCTCTAACAGGGCTAACCCTGACTTTGCAAAAGACTAAGCCAACATGATATTCCGATTACCTACCCAGCGATACACAGTTTTACTAGGTTTAAGGGGCTGGTGTAATTATGCTGCCCGACGTGCCCCCGTGCAAATCTAAATTCAGCGCCCGTCGCGCGATCGATACATGGATCTACTCTCCACACTTCCCGACTTCCCCACGAAGTCCTATGCTCATATATTGCCCTCTCTTGAAAGGGCAAGCATTACGGTAAAAGATCTGGTCTTGTTTGACCCATTGGAAATTGCCAAGCAGGCAAAAGTCGCCGTGACGGACGTGCGTGCTCTGGCGGGGGATGTGATCAATGCCTTGCATCGAGATCTTGGCCTGGGCGAATATCAGGAGTCGGCGGATGGGGTGTCTAGAAGCCTGGACGGTAACGTGCGCGATAAAGTGGAGGACCACGGGGATCCAGATGTGAAACAAGGCCAGAGGTTGCCTACGCTTTCGTTCATTAGCACGTTGGACCCGGTTTTAGATCAGGCCCTGGCAGGTGGCATTTCGACGGGATATGTAACAGAGCTGGCAGGAGAAAGGTAAGACAGTTACACTCACCATCACATTGTTCAACGGCTGCTGACATTCCGTAACTATGGCAGCGGATGCGGCAAAACACAATTCCTTCTCCATTTATTGCTTTCCGTTCAGCTTCCTCCACCATATGGAACATCTCAAAAGGCTCTCTACTTCTCCACGGAGTCAGATCTGCCTACAGGCAGGCTGTCACAGCTTCTTGAGGAACACCCTATAATTTCTACCCTACCAGAGGAGTCTCCTCGCCCGTCCTTGGAAAACATCTTGGCTATAACTACCATCGATCTTGAGTCCCAGGATCACATTCTCAATTATCAAATTCCAGTGGCTGTGTCCCGGTACAATGTTGGCCTCGTCGTTATCGATTCTATAGCAGCCAACTATCGCGCTGAGAGTGATTCGGATAATGTGGATGGCTTACTGGTTCGGGCATGGCAGCTTAAAAAGCTTGGCCAGTTTCTACGGAACTTAGCCGCCAATCAGAATATCGCCATTGTTGTTGCGAACCAAGTGTCAGATAGGATCCACATGGAGGACGTTCTATGGGCAGACGAACCTGAACCACCCACAAGCAGTTATTTTGAGGAATCCCTTTCCCAGCATCCATCCCAGCCACCATCTTCTCATCCCGAAGAGACTTTCGCGTATGATTCTGAGGGTCCTAGGTCATCGCCATCTCATCAGCTTGGATTTACGTCGTCTCCCATCCCGTCGTCCATGGTTGAGGCCGAGGATGATGAATTTTCTTTGAGTGTTCTTGACCTAGCTGCACTGCTGAAGGTTGACTACCAGCGGCCCTTTTTCACTGGCTGGGGTGATCCGCATGCATCTACCCTAGACGCGATGCATATGAATTCCCATTCGGAATGGAAAACGCCCGCGCTTGGCATTGTCTGGACAAACCAGATTGCCTGCCGTATTGTACTTAAGATGGAGACCGTTCGAATTGAAAACTCGGATACAGGGGGTGTTTGGCAAATGTCAGATTCGAACGCTTTATTGTCTTCGGTGCCTTCCGCATACGATGTTCCTAAAGAACCCAGTTCTCAAAGTCCCGCGGAGCCCCAAATGCGCACACCCTTAAAACGTGAACCTATTCAAAAAAAATCATCTGAGAATGGAGATACTCAGAAAGGGGAGACTCCAAATGAGCGGAAACCCAACCCCGTGAACTCTATAGCTGAACTTAATGATGACCTTCTTTCTGCCACCATCCCTTCATATCGGAAACAGCGGACGATTCAAGTTGTGTTCTCACCGTGGACGTCCGGGGACCCTAAACAGTGTCTAGGCGATGATGATGATGATGATGATGATGACAACGGACCAACTGGAAGCAAAGAGATGGTCGAATATGATCCCATGTTTAGCACGGTCGGATTCGAAATACACCCAAGCGGGATACGAGGTATTATTCCGATTAGCGACGATTGAACATTGGCGTCTTTCTATCTACAGATCGATCGATATCATGTTCGTAGTCATGGCCGGCAGTATATGAGCATTTGCAGCGTTTGTTGACCAAGCCTATTCTACCACGACTATAGTGCTAGAGGGATTGGACCAGCTTTATCAACCTTTGAAGCTGTGCAAGAAATAATAAATTTCTAAGTCATAGACCGCAAGGACAAGCCAGCTACATCACCCTCTTGCCAGGAAAAATTTGCTAAATGATTTATCACCCTTAGTATGTCATTTAATTGCATTTCTAATTCCTCCGTGGAATATCCCCGCTGTTTTAGAATGAGAAAAGAGGTTGGCGTGCCTCTTGGTACATTACGTGGGGAGGGAGGTGACACATTGGGGCGACAAGATGTCTCGAGTTCGATAATGACGGGCAGCGGGACATTCTTCACGGAAAGAGACCTTTGGCGGTTGGTAGAGATGCAATTGAACATTGCTTGCTCCCAACAGCCTATCAGCAAATAGCAGATTTCACACCGTCTTATACGTGTAGGAATCGGGAGACTCCTTCAAGGGGGAGAGGAAATGTTTGAACACATAATACAAGCAGATAGCTTAGCTAGTTATCTTACAAAATACATTTACCATTGGAAAATGAAATGCTGTTTGGCCATATCAGACAAGCGTAGGAATAGCGTGGTGCTGAAGTAAAAGGGGTTCAACCTATGGAGGAGGGAGACATGACGACAACAAAGTCGACCCCGGGAAAGCTAACAAAGAATGCTTAGACTTAAGACTTGACACGCCCTATCATTTACATCTGCTATGTAAACAATCGTGAAGGAATTCCTGCAGCTGATACACGGATTGCGGTATATGGTTGACACCTTGTTGTCAGGATATTTAATTACTTACGCCACATCCGCGAAGAAAGCCATCAAAACCTGTCACTGACAGTTTACTGGATCAATATGCGAATAAATGGATCTATCTGGTATACTCCGTATATGCAGCTAAAATCCACTTGTCCCTTTTTTGCACTGTTTTTGAGCATTGTCGAGATTGCAGCCCAGAGTTATATATCGCTGCAGCTGCCTGATAGCGTCGCCTGAACATGAGTAGTTACGCTGTAATTAGCTATCCTTCTGGTCGCCGGCACTATTATATCCAAACTTCAAAAAGAGGAGAGAAGAAGGAGAAAAGGATACATCTCAAACATCGCAAATATCCCTTCTAATATAGAGTACAGTTCACCAGTTCACCATGAGGTCACTAAATCTTTTAGATCGGGATCCCTCCCGAAATACTAATATACATCGTTGAGCTACTTTTGCCTTCCGACATCATCCCAGCCCTTGCATGCAGCAAATGAACTTGCCACATACATAATCCCCCGAATTGCCTTTGCCCAAGATAGAGCTGGAAATACTCTCTTGCATTACTTAGCTTCCGACCGGGCACGACAAACTGATCGAGCGATTCCTTTTCCAGGAGAGTGAACGGCTCAATCACCAACGATACCGGACTCACGTCCTTGATTCTAGCTGTTCAGGGCAGGTCAAAATTCTGCTCTAGGCTGGAGCAGACGTCTCCACTCTATACCCCAACGGACACACGACAATGCTTAACATGAAAGATTGCCTGAATGCGCACAGTCAAACTACTCATCAGTGCCGGAGCTGACCTCTCCCCGTGCGATAGCGATGGTGAAACAGCTCTAGTCCATGCCATTCGTGCTCGGAAAAGAGCCGTGGCCTCCAGTATTAATTGAAGCGGGCACGCGCGTGAACTTGCAGCTACGAGAAGGGGGTGCTTGGATACTTGCTATATTTCACAGTGATGACAAAATGGTGCGGCTGCTTGTCGAAGCTGGGGCGGATACGAGAGCCAGGTGGAACATGGGCGGACTCTCTTGGAAATAGCCGCCCGGCGGAATCACTGCCAAATATTATGGATTCTCTTGGGCGCTGGAGCTGCTGTCTCTGCCCAGTGTGATGGTTGGAATCACCGCGCGCTACATGCCGCAGCAGAACGAGGTCATGAGGCAGCAGTTCGTATTCTGCTTGATTCCGGGGCCGATGTAAGCTCTGTGCAAAGCGATGGATCGAGTGTGCTGCATTCCGCTGTCAAGGGTGGCAATAAAATTATCATCCGAATGCTCTTGGACACTGGCGCGGACCTATCTGCTTGGAGGGCACACGGTGCTCCAATGGGCAATTCAGGTACTTCCCAATTCGCCAGCAATAATGCCGCTCATCCAGCTATTCATCAACTCCGGAATTGATCTACCCGCAAAGGACGTACATGGACGAACGGCCTTGCATCAAGCTGCCGGTTGATATCAATGCGGTCGAGGAACCGTACAGATACTTTTATCATATCCCGTATGAGAGGGGGACGGCGCTGCATGCGGCGATTGAAGCTGTTTGTCCGGTGCAGCTTGAATTTCTGCTACGCAGGCAGGGGCGTGGATCAGAATATTGGAAACCCGCTGCCCTTGGAGAATGCTTCACGTATAAAGCGTTGGGATGCGGTGGACATTTTGCTCAATAATACTAATGGGTGACCCAGAGTATTTATTGTCAACCTGCCTGCTGGGCACTACGGAGTCTTTTTTCTCTCTCTGCTATCTTCTCTGTGAGGAAGAAAACGCCAGAGGATCTTCCCCGGCATAAAGAATAACGTCATAGTCTCCCTTCTTCACAGGTATAAATAACCAAGCCAATCAACCCCTCCCACCACCACCACCAAACAGATCTATAAAAAAAGTAATAAATAAATAGATAGAAATAAAAATCTAAAAATCTAAAATCTAAAATCAACATCAAAAAATGCCATAAAGCAAGATCTCCAGGGCAAGGAACAGGACTCCCGGGTGCCTGAATGTGGCAACGTCACTGCCTAACCGCGGATGCACCGGATGGATGCGGGGGGGTTTCAATCATAACTTGCATAGGAGAACAGGGGGATCAAAGTGCACAGAAGCCAGAAGGGAGATTGAAGCGCGAAGGAAAATGGGAAAAGATCAAAGAAAAAAGCCTTGATGACCGGGGGGGTTGTATATGTAGAAAGAAACGGGGAAAAAGATCAAGGATCAAGGGTGAAGCAAAGAAAGAAAGAAAGAAAGAAAGAGAGAAAGAATGTGAGTTTCTTATACATATCTCCGGGGGCGTTGTTGGGCGCAACTTGAGCTATTCAACCTAACCCCGCCGCAGGATCATCCTATATATATAGATATATAGATATATCATCAACGTTACTCTGCAGCTTATACTGAGCTGCATCTTGCCTGGCAAAAGGAAAGCTGCCGCCTGTCTTGCATGTGGCCATTGTTCTTGCCCACTCTTCCATTTGTTTTCTTTCTTCTCCGATGATTCTTTTTTTTTCTTTTCTTTTTTCTATCAGTTTATCATTTCCCCCTTCGTTTTGAGTTCGAGATCGAAAAGTCCAGCAAAATGATGAAACCGGATATTTTTTATCAGAGGAAATTCGCAGGCAATGGATTTTAGCCAGGTATGCTTTACGTATACATTGCTTAGAATGGCATTGACTTATTCATTCAGGTCGCCATACTGGTTCTTCTACCTTTCCTCCCAACTCCTCAACTGCGATGATGATAACCATTCGCATATCTGGGAACCAAGGAAGGCAGGTGATGTACTGCAGGATGGATATGTCCATTTTTTTCTTTTTCATTAATTCGTCGATATGGTAGGTTATTTAGCCTGGTAAAGTGCGTATTTCTATATCGCTTTTTAAGATGAGTGAGCAAAAAAAAAAGAAAGAAGCAACTCGAGGCATCAAAAGGGAAACGAAACAACAGTCCAAAACATGTTTTGTCAATGAGAAGCTCGAACATGACAAGCAAGAAGAAGACGGCATCGGAATCAAAGGACTTGGGATTTGCGGTTTCTAAATGTCAGGTTTTTTCTCTTTCGCCGCCCACCCTCGCTCCCTTCTTGGTATTTTGTATGCGAAGCGAAAAACAGGAAAAAAAGAGGGTCATCCGCATCGCATCGCGTTCTGTGAAGGCCCAAAAAAAATCAGAAAGAGAGGAGATAAAGCAAGGTAAGTCCGTCTAGGTATGTAATAGCACTCCCTTTCCCCACCCAACGCCAGAAAGAATAGAGAGGAAAATATTCCGCCTGTTGATTGATAGAATTATACAGACGTGCTGATGGTGTTGGAAGAGGGTTTCATGGCTTCCGTCGATTCTCGGTTTCGTCTTGAGAGTGGATGGATGGCGGCGGGACGAGGGACTGGGACCGGGACCGGGGCTGGGTTGGTGTGAGAAGGAAAAGAATGGAGTATCAAGACTCATTATCATCCCCATCCATCCATCCATTACTTTCTCTATTTATATATATGATAAAAAAGATGATGGCGCCCTCCCTTTCCTTCATCTTTCTATACTTATCCGGAAAGAGCAGCCAGGGAAAAGCGACACAAAACAGGAGCCGAAAAACAAAAGAGAGCGAAAAACGAAACGAGAGGAGAAATAATAACAAAATAAAAAGCAATTAGATCCTACGACGACTTCGTCGCCACGGCAGAAGGCCTAACACCGATATTATTCCGATTCCGGAAGAAATAAACATGCTGTCCCTCGCCCTTCGCACCCTCACACGGCTCCACCCAGTGGCACGTCCGGGCACTCTTCCACAGCGACTTGATGAACCCCCAGCTCCCATCCTTGGTGTCTGAGCGGTAATGCTTGCCCATGACGGGCTTGATGGCCTCGCTGGCCTCGTCGGCGTTGTAGAACGGGATCGTGCTGACGTAGTGGTGCAGAACGTGGGTCTCGATGATGCCGTGGAAGAGGTAGCGGCCGATGAAACCAAATTCGCGGTCGATGGTGGCTGCGGCTCCGCGGGTGAAGGTCCAGGCTTGCGAGGCGTAGTGGGGGAGGGTGGGGTCGGTGTGTTGGAGGTAGGTGATGGCGACTGTTTGGGGGGGGGTGTTAATTTGTTTCTTTTTTGTCTTTCCGAGGGTAGTGAAAGGAGACGAGAAAGGAAATCATTGAGGGGGAGATTTGAGTTGATTTCTACATACCTAGCCAATGGTTGACCCACAGGTATGGCACGAAGTACCACACGGCAAGGTTCGCCCAGCCGAAGTTCTGGCCAACCCAGTACAGCGCGGAGCCTGTGATCATCAAGCCCAGGTCGCTGAGGAGGATGAGCGGTACGTGCTTGGCCTCATACAGCGGGCTGGACGGGTTGAAGTGGTTGACACCGGAAAAGAAGCCATTCTTCTTTCCCTTACCACGGCCCTCAGGCTGGTGCTCATGGTTGTTGTGGCCCGTGACGTTTGAGAGCAAATACAAGGGCCATCCGAACAGCTGCTGCAGGATCATGTGCGTAGCGGTCTGGATGGGGGTTTCCTCCATCAACTCATGCAGCTCGTGCGCGAGATAGCCGTAGCGCGAGGCGAATACCTCTCGTGTCTTGGGGACGAAAACCATGTCCCGGTCCATGTTGCCGGTGGCTTTGTGGTGTTTGCTGTGTGAGATCTTCCAGGAGAAGTACGGTACCAGCAGCGCCGAGTGGCAGATCCAGCCGACTGTGTCGTTCAGGAGTCTGAATGGAGAGAATGCCTGATGTCCGCACTCATGGGCCATGACCCATAGGCCGGTGCCAAAGAGACCCTGGACGAAGGTATAGAGACCCCACAGTCCCGCACGGATCGGGGTGGATGGGATGTATTCCGGAGTGACATAGTTGTGGAAAAGGTAGAAGGTCCCTGCCAAGCTGAAATATCTCTCGCTACGTATGAAAGACTGCGCAGCGCACTTCTCTTGAAGCAATGGGCCGGGATGGCGTCTCGGATCTGCTTGATGGTGAAGTCTGGGATCTCAAAGGGGTTTCCGTAGGTGTCTACTAATTTTAGGGGTTCTTCCTGCGCATCCGAGGCCAGAGACGACAGGGAGGTGGAGGAAGGAGACGGACGCAAGCTGTCGCTTGGGGAAACGCATGCAGAGCTCTCTGTGGAGGAGTCCGTAGGGATATTCCGGTTTAGCGCGGTGCGCTTGGGGAGGGCGGTGGAGGTCATGGTTTGCGGGATTTAGGAGATTTCGGGGTTTGTGTTGATGGGGCGGAGAAGATATTTATCTATCTATCTATCTATATATATATATGTGTGTGTATATATATTTATATGGTTATATGGATGTCCACGGGATCAAAGGTAGGAAGGAGATGGCGAGGAATTGGGGCTTTTCGTGTTTTGTTGGGGAATCTTCTGCTCCATTGGTCAGTCAACGGATTTGTGTGATTGGAGTGGGAGTGGGAGGAGGCAATTGGAGGGAAGAGAGAAGCACAGGGAGCCAACACGGGGACGAAGACAGTAATAATAATGACTTGGGACTCACCACTCGAACGGGGGCTGGCTAAATGTCTCTCCTTTCTCACTCAATCACAGGGTCTGCAAGGAAAGAAAGCTGCAGCGGGCAAAGGGAATTCCTGCACTGTACATGTACAACAAGCGGGCGAGAGATCGTGTAGTATAGGAGGGAGGATGAAAAAGAGTGAATTGAGGAGGATAAAAAGAAGGAGGAGGAAGAAGAAGAGGAATAAAAGAGTGGGGGAAAAAAAGACAAGACTAGTTCCTCCGAATTTGACAATGCTTTTTCTATTAATTACTTCTCTTATATTATTTGATTTTGATTTTGATTTTGATTTTTTTTTTCCCTTTTTTTTTTCGCCGCCGTCCCAGCAATTTTTTTGCCGTTTTCCTTTTCGCTGGGAGAGGCGGGTATTGATACCGTATGGTCATGTAATATTACTCCCCCTTGTCATAAATACAGATATACATGTGATTTCATGTTCTTAACTTCTTCTCACCACCCTCCTCAAGCTAATAAATAATAACATAACTACACACAAATGTTTACTATGTATATGTACAGTGTAGTCATTTAATATTAGCTTCTCTGCTTTAATGAGGCTTAGAAGAATTATAGATGGTGCAACACATTCTACTCTGAGCTGTTATTCATTCAAACAAGTGCTGACTGAGTGTTCATTTGAGCAAGTTAACCAGCTGAGTCGGGGATAAAAACCTCTTCATATTTGGGGCAAAACCTGACTCTCAGTCAGCAGTGAAATCCTACATTGATGTACATGCACATGTACATGTATATTACAGATGTACTCTCTCAGATCTGCCTGATTCTGCATTCTCTGATCAGCATGATCAGAGGTAGGTAGAGAGCAGATTCTAGTAAATAAGATAAGTTTGTTCAACATCTCTCAGACTAGATTTGAAATCTGATTCGCGGCACAGTGAATAAAACTTGAGTTGATCAACAGATGTTTTGCAATTTATATATATTAAATAATAAACTGACAACTTAAGCAATGATGAGACTTATGAGAGAAGATTCTACAGTAAGAAGTATTAAGTTTGCTGCTTGCTAAGATTATACTATCAGTATAAATAATATTAAGATCTATATAACTGCTTTTTATAATCATTATTACTAGTAAAGATATTATATTATTATTTTATATATTATTTTCTATCTCTATATCTGTCTTCACTTAATAAAATATTATAGTCTAAAGATTATATTAGTACTATTATCAATGGAATTTTTTTATATTTTCTTAGCTATTTCTATTAATAGTTTTTTATAGCTACTATATTTACTGTATACTTTAGCTTCAGATACAGTTTATAAATTGTTTATTTATCTCTCTTTATTCTGATTATTAAAATTTTAATCTGATTTCTGATTGGTTCTTAACTGCGAGTAACAAACTTTTGATTGACTCAAAAGTTGTTAATATGTGTATTAAGGTGGCTTACTCCACTTGTGAATTACATGAGTGTGATATCTTGTTATCATAGAGATGAAGGGGTTTCAAACTTGATGTCTGACACTGTATTATATCTCTAAAATCCTAATCATTAACCCTAGCTTTCAAATTCCCAACCTTATGACAAGTTCTAGCTGTTGGTGGAGCACACGGTCCGGTCCAGCGGGAGTCGTATGATATCTACAGCGTACATACATCCATCCATAATAATAAACTATCCCAACAACCCAACCCATGCCAAAGCGCGCGGGTTTCTTTGCCCGCCTCCGCGTGGCCCAGCCCTGGGCAAAGGTTGTCGTTGTTTCTCCGCTTAAGCACATGAGGACGGGTATCGTATCTAATTCGTTTTTACGATACGCCCCAGGAGCAAAGTTCATTTCATTGTTGAACGAATGTTGTCCGCGCAAGCAACGAACTTTCTCTGGGTGTTTCTTATTGATATTTTGCCTTATGCCTTTGCATTTGCATTTGCGGTTGCCCCTTTCAGTTCAACAGGGGTTACTCGCTTTCTCACGTCTTTTTTGCCTGTCGTAGAACAGGAACTCATACATGCATTATTGGCTCTGGCTGGCTGACTTGCTGTTGATGAGGATGATCATCAAGTCTCCCCGCCCCAAAACTCGTAACCCCACAGCGGCGGAAGAGCGGGACTGGTAAGTTACAGCCGAGAAACTGTGACACGGTGACGGCTAACTGAGTTGATTTACAGATATGTGTCTGTCTCTCATATCAGACTGCGCCGTATCATTTGCGCATTAGCAGACAGCTGCAAATTACAGCCAGACAGACATTGACAAGAGGGTTCATAAGAAATCATGGATGATAGTTAATATCGGTTGGCGTGTGCTCAAGCCATACATGAGTACTACCGTTGTATTTTCTTCTATTTGCCTTGGAACTCGAGAAAGTATGAAAGCTGTCCAGCGTGAGTGTCATAGCGCCGATGTCGTGCATACACATCATATGGGGAGATATAGGATCTTCCGGAAACATGTTCGCCAGGATTAGTCTAAGGGTTAGTTTCTTCTGGTCCTCACCGCCTTTTGCAACGGCCAATTACAACTTTATTCAACCTGGAAAGAAAAAAAAAAAGAATAGAAATAAAACTCAGAATTGGTTCTGTTGAAAATAAACTAAATTGACAAGAACCTGCCAAGAACAGCTCGTAGCGCTGTTGTGTGATTGGTTGTGTGATTGGTCACACAAAAGCTTCAGGTACCGAAATACCAATTACAAGGAAATACGGAGTACAGATGTAACCCCGTACGGATGGTTTCTGCAGGCGCAAAGGGAGGGAGGGAAATCAGAAGCTGCTGATTGGGGGAAAATAGCTGCATTATTATAGTCAGGAATAACAAAAAAGCTCATGATTATTATCACAGACTCAAGCAGAACCTCTCTTCTCTTAAATGAGTTGCCTGCAGGATCAGAAGAATAATAGCATGTGAAATTCTGAATCAATTTCCTATCATGAGGACATGACTTATTCACAATTTCATAGTTTTCTCATCAATGTTCATGCAACTAACTTCAGCAGCAAAAGCACAGTATTATTTATCACATGCTGCTGAGTGTGAAAACATGCAAAATCCTCAGTCCCTTCTTCTGGGGATATTTAATATTTATTTATTATTGTTGGAATCTCCACGGATGTTTGTTTTCTTATCCCCGCCCGCAGGCCTACTCCAGAACCTTAAGGTGGCGTTCATGCATTGTGCAAACTCACAATGGTTCATATTTTTCTGTTGGGGGATACCACGTTTTGTTGAGGAAAGATGATCTGTGCTTGCAGCGAAAAACACATGGCTAACATTCAGCATGTAGTCTGTCTTGATGTTTTCAGGTTAGTATGAGTAACTTAATATACAGACAGAGTAATAATGCTATACAAGCATCAAACGCTCGCTTACGCTCGCTTTGCTGCTTGCGCAGCCCTCTATCACTTTCACTCTCTACCTCTACCCCTCTTACCACTGCTTCCACCCACCCTCTACCTCCTCTACCACCATCACCACCTCTACCGCCCCGCAGTCCCTCTACTCCCTCTTACCACCTCTACCACCCTTTCACCCTCTACTTCCTTTACCACCATCACCGCCTCTACCGCCCCGCAGCTCTCTCTTTCACTTTCACTCTCTATCTCTACCTCTCTTACCACTCTTTCACCTCTTCCACTTCTACCCTCTCTATCATCATCATCATCTCTACCGCCCCGCAGTTCTCTCTACTCTCTCTTACTTTCTCTATCACCTCTTTCACTCTCTACTCTCTTTATCATCATTACTGTCTCTACCGCTCCGCAGCTCTCTCTATCACTTTCACTCTCTATCTCTATCTCTCTACCTCTCTCTTATCACCCCGACTAGACTGGCCGGCGGGATCATGAATTTCACGTTTGGTCTCATTTGATCTGGTCTTATACATTTCTTGGCGTGAATCCCGCTGGGACTAATCATCAAAAAAACATGCAAAGTGACTATTAATCAGATCTTAAAATGAGACTATGACTTAAAAAAAATTAAGAAAGTGATCTCATTTAATTTCATTTAGTCTTATTCTTGATAATAAAGTTACTATTTTTAGAGATTTTAAAGTTTTTTTTAAACTATTTTTAATTTTTTAAAAAGTAATAATATTTAATAATACTTAAATAAGATTTAAAGTCATTTAAAGTAATAAAATGAATTTAAATTAAGAAGTGAAAATTATAGTTTTATTTTAAAAATGTAATAAGAGTAGATAGTAAATCTTATTAAAATAGTATAAGATTACTATTTATTCTTAATACTATATAATAAGATTAATTAAATTAATAATAAAATTATTAAATATTCTAGTTCTAATTTTAGATATAGTTATATAATTAGTCTAACTATATGTAAGAATAAGTGCTCGCAGGTGATTATTTAAGTGTTTGCAGCTTGATGTGATATGTACTGTTAACTACTAGAAGTATTCACAGTAGAAAGATAAAATGTAGAGATTAAATATATAATAGCATTCAAGCTGAGTTATGAATAGTATTCATGAACTTCAGTCTATATAGTTATATATAGTTAAGAGCTGCTAGCTCTATTGATTATATAAGAGATAGAAATAGAGATAAAGAATCTGTGAGAAGTAAGATTTCTTATATATTCTTCTCTCTCTAAGACTTTATCTGTAAAGTCTTTCACTGAGTGACTTCATAGAATCAGCTTAGTACTGTAGTGATACTTACTAAAAACTCTT